GACACCAAAATGACTACTTCTCACTAACATGCCAAAATAAAGATGGCCATACACTTTTTTTCTTATTCAGAGGAGATTAAACATTCAATTCCCCCATCTTGATCAAACGAGAAAATCATCAGCATTGATTGATCATTGCCAAGAGGTTACTTTTCTGCTTTTGTTTAAAGAATAAACAAAATGCTAACAAAGTTACTTTTGTTGTAAATCGTACTTACAAAATAACGGCTTCTCATTAAAGCTGACTTTCTTCCTCAAGGTGCCCATCATGTTCAGATGTTCATTAACAGATCCTATTATAAGGTGGTCTCACGCTTGTGACAATACATCCTGGTCTTCAGAGGATATTAATTTTGTTCTTTTGTAGTATACAATACCTACATCAGTATGTGAATAAGCATTATGTATGGTGGATGGTCTTATTTCTCAATGTTTGCAGTCTTGTATTTCAGTGGAAGTGGTTGCTTGGAGAGAGTGAGTACCTCCTCCACCTTCAAAGGAGCCTTTTAGAAAAAGTTGCCTAGCAGTTTTATCTCAGGCTGCACAAACTCTTTAATCCTCGGTTTGTTCTTACTTCCTGGTGAGCAGTGTCTGGGGTGTGTGTGTGTGTGTTTGTGTGTAAAAAGTCATGTGAAAAAGAAAGTACACCCTCTTTGAATTCTATGGTTTTAAATATCAGGACATAAATCTGGTCCTTCACAGGTCCTAGAATTAGGTTAATACAAGCTCAGATGAACATGACATTAGACCATGTCATCATTTATTTTACAAATATGAAGTCAAAGTGTGTGGAAAAACTAAGTACACCTTATGATTTAATAGCTTGCAGAACCACCTTTAGCAGCAATAACTTGAAGTAATTGTTTTATGTATGACTCCATCTCTCACACTGGAGGGATTTTGAACCACTCTTTACAAAGTTACTTCAGTTCATTGAGGCTTGCAGGCAATTGTTTACACACAGCTCTCTTAAAAAAGGTCCCGCCCAAGCATTTCAAACAGGTTGAGGTCTGGACTTTGAGTTGGCCATTTCAATACCTTGATTCTTTTCCAGACATTCAGTTGGTTTGTTGGGATCATGGTCCTGATGCATGACTCAATTTCAGCCAATCTATTGGGCAGATGGCTTCACATTTGACTCTAGAATACTTGGTATACAGAGGAGCTCATAGTGGAGTCACTGACTGCAAGGTGGCCAGGTCCTGTGGCTGCAAAACAAGCCCAAATCACCCCTCCACCACTGTGCTTGACAGTTGGTATTAGGGGTTTGTGCTGATATGCTGTTGGTACAGGGGCAGACTGACCATTTGGCCAGTCAGGCCCCTGCAGGATACAATTCTCATTAGGCACCGCACCAGCTTACATGAATAGCAGATACAAGCTCCCCCTGCACAGCCTGCTGGTAATCAGTAGTTCAAGCATTCCAGGCCATGCTGTAAGTGGTTGTGACTGGCAGGCTATGAAGGCAGACACTGGGACTGTTAGAGGAGCACATCGTGGCGGACAGGAAGGTGTGGAAAGTTTGCGGGGGAAGGGCCCAGTATCCCACAAACATACCAACAGCTTCTCCCAGGGGCCCACCCCTGGATACTGGAGGGAGCCGCAGGATCAAAAGGACTGCAGCCATGAGACTTCCAGAGACTACTGGAAGCAGACCAGCCAGGAAGATAGTCAGAAGCGGTGACTACATTCACTATATTGTAAAATGTAATTTCTAGTCCTTTATACATCTACCTCATGTGAAAAAGTACACCCCCCTTCCCAGCGTGTATATGGAGAGAGCAGAAATAGCAGTAAGAGATGAATAAAAGTATTAAAAGTATGAATAAAAAAGTGTGCACAGGAAGCTAATAATATCATAAGTAACCACAACGACAGCTACTGATGCAACTAATTTAAGCAATATCATCTGTCAATCATTGTGCAAAGGAGCCACATCTGCCTTCAGCATTGGAAACAATTGATATGTAACAGATTTTATTTGAGAACTGATTGTCCATTTTTACAGGCATAAGGAAGTGAAGCTTTGCATCACGATGAGTGGGCAGAAGGCTTACTGTTGGTCCTTTACAACATCCGCTTGTTTAGGGCAACACATAATCAGTATAAGTCAACACACTGCAATTAATTTAAGTTTTAGATAAGACTGGGGGGGAAGGGTTATACCATCTAAGATGTTTTTATAGCTGTCTGTGTTCCCATTGGGGAGATTCTACCTTCTAGTTGTACAAAAGTCAAGACAGAATGGGTAAATCCAAAGATTTTTAGAGTTCCAATGGGCACACCCCCGTTTCAGGTTACAGTTACAACTTAACGCAAGAAAATGCATAAAAACAGCACAATACTTTGTCATGTGAATGGGCCCAGAGGTATTAGGGCAAGTGTTCTGTGAATACATCTACTGCATATGCACTGCTACAATCTATAGCTGGAATGTCCTTTTCACCCAGCACTTGTATAAAATCCAAGCTGGCCTTGTTGGCACGTCTTAAGTTTATAAAACTAGATATCCCAACACCTTCTTTTCCCTGTAAAAATATGTCCCTCAGATTAAAATTGCCTTTCCATTAAAATGTAGAGCGTCAGCACACCATACCTGCATTCTTCCTACCACTATAGAACTACAAGTCTCAGCACACTATACTTTTATCCAATTGACTTGTTGAAATAAATGACACTTTTCACAGTAAATGAAAATTGGCATTTTCAAATGAGCGGCAAAGAATCACTTTATTTTTTTTCACTGCAAAATACAGAAAGGCAATTTTACTTTTAAAATGGTTTCCCCCCCTCTAATAAAAAAAAAGGAAAATTGTAAATAAAAATCACCGGGTGTCCTAGCAACCAATGACATAATGCCTGCCCAGTCCCTGCTGGGCCACCAATAGGGGTACAGCCAGCCCACCAGTAGTGGGCCCAGCAGGTGTTACCTGTGGGTGGCTCATATAGCTCTTGCCATGCCCCCCCAATAAGAATTCTTTACTGCATCTTGCAGCACCAAGAAAAATTGTTCACTGGGCAGCTGTCCTGCTTTCAGGCAGCAGCTTAACCCTGCCTGCTGCCACTCAGCCAGAGCAGCAATATGACTGGACTTTGGTGCCTGTTCTCT